CGGGAAGTTTAGCGGGCGTCCGACCGCGTGGCAAAGAATTTCTTGATTAGATCATTAACAGAGGAAACCGGAGCCGGATTCATTTGCCACAGATCGCGACCAACACGTTGTTTGTGCTCACATCAAATCAATATCTCTTTTATTAATGATTAATAAACATTATCTTAGACTTTTGCTAAATGTGAAATTTCAGCTAAAAAATAAGTTCTTCTGAAAAGTAAGTATTCATCGAGATCTCGTTGGAAAACACAAATTGTTTATTATAACGCCAGCACTATTGAGCGGTTGTTTTGTCGTGTCGTGCCGCGCTGCCGCTATAATCTTGTAGTAAGCAATAAATAATTCATGGGGGGCTGTTGTTCTCACAGCTCGCAAACAAACGCATTTTACTGAGCTTCATGGAAACCTAAATCTCGACAAGAATGCCTATAACATTATAATTAGTGAAATGTATTAAAACATCACTAAACCCAAAATTTGACTAACACATAAGATCCATACATCATATTGGTGAAATATTTCAACCAATTTTTTTAAATTCAAGGTTTTGTTGTATGTTATTTTGAATAATTACTGTGTATAACATTCCTCTGGGCCGTATAAATGCAAATATCGGCTGATGTGTTGTTATTTCTGCGGCTATTTCCTTCTATAACTGCTGTCGTTCAACTTAATGTAAAGCTAGGACGTTAACTTCGTAAATAAATATTAATTTCATTTATAGTATCGTACATAGAATCTATTCAAGAAACAACGGAATGTGTATTCTTAAATCGCAAAGGATTAATACTATTATGAAGGTATAAGAAACACTAGTACACAAAAAGAAGTAACAGTTATCTTAAATCGTCCCTAATGCTGTATGGATAAGATCGCAATGAGTTTCATGCAGCTAGTGCTAGGCCCGAGGACCAATAATAATTACTATACACAAGATAACAATGGTTGGATCAGTTATTCTATATCAGTTATAACGGAGTTTTGGAGCGTAATGTCAGATGAAATTCTATATACATGTTACTACTTGGTTCTGACTACATTGTTCTTATCCAATTCTTATGGGGGACAATTCTAAAAAAACACACAACTTTCGGATTGTGTATTGAATGAAATTAACAGACATTATTTTTTAGGTCTTTTGAATTGAACTTTCTGAAGTGCAACAAACAACTACACGCCATTTCTTTCTACAGTTGTTTATTTCAAAACATGTTAAAACCCAAGCGAGAATAAAGTCAATTCAGTTTATGTCAAATTTCCATATCATTGGATTTTTCTTACTTAGATCCATACAATTAAAACTTTGTAGACGGTTTCATTGGATTTAATTAGCACTTGCGTACTGAAGAGGATACAATATATGAATTTTATTTAAAATGTCTTTTTTAAGAGAAAATTCTCTTAAAACACTTTAGGAATATTGTGTGGGTAGAGTAAAGAATTTGCGTTATTGGTCATAGCATTAACATTCGTGAAAATTGTAGCTGCAGATTATCACAGACCTGAGTGCGTAAATCGTGTTTTAGTGAACAAAAAAACACTCCTATTATACGATAAGGGGGCGACATATAAATGATTAGCGGGGTCCATGGACATCCGCAATACTAGACGAACTGCAAGTACATTGCCGTTTTTTTTAGAAAAAGATACATTCGCTTCTTGACTACAGCCGAGGACAGATCATCCCACAAAGCTTAATTTTAAATGAGCAACTATGAACTAACACCATGAGGGAGGGCGAGGTGTCGAGGGACCGATGTGTTCTGCGAACATCCGCCAGAGGACGTTAACGGCACAATAAAACTGAAATATCTGACAACACTCGGACTGCTGCCACATTTATGTACCGACGTATTTTAGCTCCTACTGAAATATTACACACTAAACTAGTTTACGACTCTATAATATTGGTTGCAAATTGTCATTAGTTAAGCAATTAAACCCATGGTTTATTTATTATATCCTAAATGTAGTTTGAAGTGGCTGTGTTGTGACTCGCCTAGCTGGCCATTAGTTGGTAAAGGCTCATGATGAAATTAACAAAGTGGCAATATCCCTATCGTCGCTAAACATTTTAAAGGAGAATGAATAATTAAACTATTTATAGATGCTTTTACAGTTAGTACTGATAGAGACTAAAACAAAAAAATAACGAACACGCAAATTAGTTGTTGTGCTCTCAAGAAAACTGTTTTTATAAAGATTCCATTTTCTCGACACTTTTACTTTTTGCTTTTAGTGCCTTTAACTAATTTACTTTGTGATTAACAGTGTCACTTGAAGCGAGTTCATTATTATTCGATCAAAGGAATTTTAAAGGAGTTATACGAAACATTTTTGAATATTTCAACAAATTTAGAAAAGTTGATTATTGGCTTTTCATTGTAAAAATTATACTAAAAATACTGAAAAGCGAGCAATTTATGTTTTTCTTATATGTATATACTCTAAATTAGTTACCTATTAAGTAGATGGAAGAATGCTTGTAATTTATAGAGTTAAAAATCTAAAGTGGTTTTAAAATCAAAACATAATACAATAATCTTTACAAAAAACGCGGAAAAACACTAAATGCAAACTCTACTATCTCGTAATGAGCGACTAAAATGTCGAGAAGTTTGTTTGTGGTGCAAGTTGGCGAGGTGAGCGGAGAGCTGAGGTGAGGCGCCATTTCCTCATTAGCGAGTCCATTAATAAGGAAATGAGAACTCTCCAATGACTTTACGATTACGTCTTCAGAAACTTTTACTTTAAGGATATAAAAATGGAACAAATTTATCACATTTCATTTATATCCCACTTACAAATTTTTGTTTGAAAACTATGAATTTACTAAACTACTAATGCCCAACAAGCGAAGTGAAGTACTTTTCAAACAATTGACTTTGGTGCATATTTCATAGTTGAAGATTTATGAAAGTTCTTTTAAGTATTGAAAAGATGAAAAAACACTCGGAAGTTTAATGCTGAAATTATGTAATAAAGCAAGTTGTGTGGGGCGTTCGCGCTTTGAATTCAGTTCCGTGGTCGGAGTCAACCAGCCCGCAACTGAAACTCATACTTTAGACCTTCTTGAAAAGTATTTCAACTGCACTTTTACATCAAGCAAGAGAAAAGTTACTCTTGAAATTGACAATTGCAGATATATTGCATTTCTTTAAAAGTTTTGTAACTCTACTTTCTTTGTTGATATTCGAATGACATTTATACGAACAATTATATAAAATGGTGAGTGTAGTACATATTGAAGTTACTTTTAGTTCAAAGTTGGTGCAGAGCATAGCAAGAAAATTTGCACTAATCCATATGTAACTCTTGTTGGAGGTTTTTAAAACTTAGTTTTTAAAATGCTATTATTAAATTAGAAAATTAGTTTACTTTAGTCTAAAAGAACTGTAATAATAGACAGTTGTATAGAACCCAATTTACTAGCGGGACTGCTAAAAGCTAGGAGCGTGTCTCCACGTTCTGCACCGGACTGAGACAAGAGACTACCTGACCCTTTGCGACAAAGCACTACCTGTGTGGGCCGCGGTGCGGACAGCGAGCACAGACAGAGAGGATAAATCGATAGAAAAATGATAATCGACAAATCATCGAGGACAAAAACATAATATTTCGAATGCGGGTTCCTCATATCTTTAGTCAAATATATAGTTGTTTATCCTTCCCTATAATTTGCTCGTCAGTTTGATGTATGAAAAACAAATATAAATTT